AAATATTATAACTTTTATGGCAACCAATGGATGCATTGGAAAAATTATCATACATTGTAGATGTACGTACCTCATGCAAAGTGCCCCTGTTAAAATATTCAAAATATCCGGGAGATATTTCAATATGAAGTCTAATACCCGGGTGGGTGTACCGTATAGCGATAGTAGCAAATACAAACTACATAGTTTTACTGTACCTTTAGTACGCATTTATATTATTAGATATTAGATGAATGAATCATTTCAGCTATTAATTTCAACTATCAATCTTAACTATCAATCTCAATTATCAATCTCAATTATCAATCTCAACTATCAATCTCAATTATCAGTTTCAACTATTAATCAACTATTACAGTATCAATTTCAACTATCAATCTCAACTATTAAGTTTCAACTATCAAGTTTCAACTATCAAGTTTCAACTATCAAGTTTTGACTATCAAATTTCTGATAAGTTCTGGGTGTGAAAACGCGTAATACAATAATATATGCGTAGGTGACGTGTACACATTTAAAGTTTGCATGAATTTATATTCGGAACTCAGAGCTCTAACTCGATTGTCGGAGTAACATAAATGAACACGTGCACATTATATGGTTGATATTCTTTCCGCCTATTCTTGATAGGGTAGTTACATTGTATTGTCATTAAGTTTGTGTGATAACAGGTGAAATAGGAAAAAATTCTGATCATGCATATTTAATTTTGAAAGTCCGAAAGTATTATCATAAAATATAAATTTTAGTAAAACCCATGATAAACCCATGATTTAATCACATTACATATATTTATATGAAATGTATATGTCGTGTTACGGAAGAGTATAAGTTTGATATCACGATGCATGTTCCGCCAAACATGTACGATAGATATTTAATGAGAACAAATTAATACAAATTAATGTATCACTTTAAGACACGTTCAACAAGACTAGTGGTAAAACGTGAATAGGAGTACGTACAGGTAGATAGCAGACTAGGAGAACGCAAAAGATAATTGCAGGCAATTATTTTTTATTGCATATTCTAACAATTATAGTGTAATAAAAACAACTGAGATATCCTAAAAAATGGTATAATAAAGACAAGATATATATATATATATATATATATCCTAACAAATGGTGTAATAAAAACAAGTGAACATAAAAACGTAACCTATTGATTAACCTATTGATTAACCTATTGATTAACCTATTGATTATTGATTATTGATTATTGATCAATGTAGTTAATGTTGCCGAAGAATGATTGTAGTACTATCTGTAATATTTTGATATTTATTTGTATATATTTTGTTTTTCATCTCATAATATTATATGCATCTATAATATTATATGCATCCTTATTTACTCATTAATTATTAATTATCGTTATTATTATTATTATTACGTATTATTATTATTACTTTGGTGACAGATAGCGAACAATGAGAGAATATGAACAGGGGATTCGTACAATAATTGAAACTTACATTATCACATCCAGTGATATATTAGAAGGTTCACGCTTTATAAACAAATAGATAGATTGGAATGCTGATCTATTTAAAATTGGTATTTGTGCAGTAATGATGACCCACCTACTGCTTATCTCACTTACCTACCACTTACCTACCACTACGCGAAAGGACCTTATTAAAGTATTATGTGCAACCCCACTATTGAGTAAATTGAAATATAATGTTCTAAAACGTGCTAGGTCGATAACTTATGCATAATCGCACGAACCTCTAAAATCAAAATCGACGACTAGTTGATCACATCTTTAATATGGTAAGATGGATATCAAAAACGGTGTTTTAGAAATATATGGGAAAAAATTATAAGCAACGCCAAAGAGCAACAATGCATTATCGTTACGTGTTTCATCCATTGTATTACGTCAGCTTTAATCATCATCCGTTCGTAAAAGTTCTAGCATTTTGTAGATTCTAAATATAAAAAAGTATAAAGAAATATCATTATCAAAGAAACGCAAAATTTCTTACGTGTTTTTTTTTTCTCGACCGAGTCTGTTGTAAGTGAACGAACGCGCCTTATTTTTTTTTAATACCGTAATTCGGTTTCCTAATAATCCCATCGATAGCTAACAATCACAAATCCAAATGTAAAAAGTACGTACGTAAAGAGATGCACTATATGCATCACGCGATCTTTAGTGTCATTACTATTTTGAGCTTAGTTTTAATTTTTTTGCTTCTCCGCTTAGCGTCACGAGTATGACCGCTTATCAGCTCGGATAGTGCCGTATCAATTTGTATGCATGCATGCATGCATAAATTTTTAGCTTATGCAGTTACTTGCACTTGCTTGCGTCTTTTTTTTTGTTCGTGGCAAAGTTAGGTTTCTTAAAGAGGAATACAAGTTTTAAGATTTTTTTTTTTTTAGCATTAGATCCTTGGTTTGTATTCCGTTCCGAACATCGTTGTTATCCAGCAACATGAGACTCGTAAGATTTGATTACGTACAGTACATACTATTATTATATACTTTGCCAACGGATGCAAATGCAATAAATCCAAACGATAGATAAAAAATTTTTTTCTCCAAGGAATTATCAGATATATATACATACATATATATATATATTATATAAAACCATATTCAAGGTTCTCGCCGGTTTATCATCTAATTGATCAACCTTACAGCGCAGTGGAGGGAACGATGTCTGAAATGAAAATCCTGACCAAGTTTTACGAGGCTATTATATACAGCATTACAATTACATACAATTACATACAGCGTCACAATTACTTACAGCATTACAATTACTTACAAAGTTACAATTACTTACAGAGTTACGATTACTTACAGAGTTACGATTACTTACGTACAGTTAAAAATTACTTTACAGGGTTACAATTACTTACAGAATTACAATATGTAATATATATCAGATATATATATACATATATATCGATATAATCCACACATTTATACCTTAATGCTAAAATAATAGTTGTCGAAAAATAATCTTTATCACGTTCTATAAACAATGAAATATAATTATTATATTGTTGCCATCAAAATTATTAAATAGACTCGACTTTAATGTTAAGGAATATTTCAAATTTCCGGTATTCTCTTTCCGCGTGATTCTCATTTTAGGATTGTTCAACTGTAGATTATCGTTATTGAAAACAAAAAAAAACAAAATCTTAATACCGGCAAATAATTTATTCAGATTGATTGGCGTATGGCATACGGATATTTGGGAAAAATCAAAAGAGAAAAAAATTTAAAAAAATTTAAAAAATCTAAACAAATTTAAAAAAAAAAATTTTTTATTGTTTGTTAATTTTAGGCTATAAGTTTATCGAATTAATAGGCTACCGAATTTGAAATATCATACATTAGAAATACCGATTACAGTATACTTCAAAGTATAATGAGGGGATTTTGTGTTCCGTTTCAAGATAATTATATCCTTTTTATTTTTTTTCAAATTGCATATTTCTTTTAGGCTGATTTGATACAAATAAATGTTATAATTTAGAATGTTTTCATATAAAATATTAATATAAAAATATCAATACAATTTGTTGATATAAAAATGTTTGATACAAATATATAATTTACAAAGACTTTGCAGTATTTGTTTATTTATTTTTTTGTATTTATTTTTTTTTGGCATCCCATTGTTTCCTCGGAAGGGTTTTTCTTGGGGATGAGTAAAGAACTTTCTCGTTTTGTTCTTGATTAATGGCTGCGGCTTGTATATATATGTTGTGTCATTATCTTTGGTCATGTCTAATAATTTCGGTAATCTCTATAGTAAAATTTGTGTAAATTCGGGTTGAAAGAATACGGATGGTAACCAATTTAGTGTACCATGATTATGGTATAAGTTCTATAAGGAGAAATCATTGAATGCACCCTGACGTATTACTGATTATTTGATGATAAATGCTATTTTTTCAACGAATCATAAATCATTTCCTGAGTAAATTTTAAACAGACTTGTTTTGTTTAAAAATTTTTAGTATATATTGTGTTAAATATTATTAATTCTTATTAATGGTTTGGCATCATTTAAAAACAGTCCTGCTTTTGTTTTGTTTAAAAATCAAACTTGACACACAATGTCACAGAAGATAAATGTTTTGCTTACTTGGAATTTTTATCATGTCCTACTTTTCTACATAGATATGTAAATACGTAATTATATGTAATTATATCGATATAGCATTTACTTTTATAGCAATTTGTACGTCACTTTATACTTTTTTTTATATGCTATATGCTGCTAAAGGCAATACCACTACTCTTGTTCGTACAAGAAAATTCTTTTGTTTTACAGTGACATACTCATCAAGTCAAATATATCGACGTTGAGATTAATGTGATTAATGAGATTAACGAAATTAATGGCGTGAGTTTTTTACAAATTAGTCCTTCACCTTTTTCATCTTTTTTGACTGTTCTATTTCGAAATGTCATTCCTAAAATATTGTATATATTTTTAAACATAATAATAAATATATATATACTTATTTCTATAATGTGATTTCTGGCAATCTAGAAAATCCATGGACTCAACGCACAGTAAATCACAATATATCCTTATACTATATCGGTCATTAGAAGTTACATCAACGTCATTACAAATAAAAGAACCTTTTTGTGCTCTTTATCTAAGAAACTTCATGTATATTTATTATTTTAAAAAGGGTCCTCGTTTTTTTGTACTAGGTCTTTTGCATATTCTGCCGTGCGTTGTAATAGTTCAATTTACGGTAGTAAATGAAACATCTAAAGCACCACTAAAACGCATTTATAGATTTATATAACACTAAAAAGTCCAACTATCTTTTTTTTTTTTTTTTTTATTTTACACACCTTTGACAAAATTTAAAAAAAAACTCACTTTCCTCTTTTCTAAACTTCATTGTTTATTTTGGGTTTTCGAGTTAATTAATTTTATTTTTTTACCTTTCTCTTCGTCCCTTTCTTTGTTTCGACATTTCTTTGCTACAAAGGCTTCTCAAATCTATTAAAAAGAAAAGAAAAAAAAAAAAAATACAAAATACAAAATAATATAAAGTAAAAAACAAAACCAGAAAAACTAGAATATATAAGCAATGGCTGCTTCAGATCCTTCCTCTCATGATTCCGTATGTTACTATATTAACGATCAACTTTACGTTGAACTAAAGTTTTAAGGGGTGATTTTTTTTAACCTTCTATCCATTTCTTGGTCTTTTTCTTTAGGGTCTAAATAGCTTTCAAAGAATTATTGAAGAGTATAAAGTACGTCTTTTCCTTTTCGAATCTTGAAATTACTGTTATCCATTTTCAACAACAGAAAAAAATGATAAATTTATACATTTAGTTTCTTGTTCCATTGGCTTTTTGTCTATTTTCTAAGTATTTCCTTTTTTTAATAATTTAGGCTAAAGACAACCAAATTTCGGAGCTAACCAAGGAAGTAGAAAGTCTCAAAAAAGAAATCCATAGATTACAGCAAGTATGTTTTATTTGTTTTACTTGTTTCACCAAATTCTTTTTGAATTCTCTCTAGTTCTATAATCTTAATACATACGTGTTTATGACCTCTTGTTCATTGTAAAAAAGAAATCGGCGCCTGAACAATTCATAAGTAACCATCATCAATTTGATCAAAGAGCAAAAGCTCTTGAACTTAGAAATGCTATAGGTAAAGTAATAGACGATGTGCTTGTAAATCAGGAGGTTGGTACCCTTTGTTTATATAATTACCATTACCATCATTATCATCATCATCATCATCGTCTATCGCTATATACGTAATCAATGAATGACATCATTATTTCTATTTCTTCGTCTGCTAACTTAGCATACAAGCCGTGCACCTGCATTTAATAATCCACCAACTCGGTGGGCTTCCGGTTCAACTACAAATACTGCCACCATGGAAGGTATTTCAATCCTCTTTTTTTATTTATTTATTTATTCCATTTATTTTATATTCTTTCTTCTCATGCTTCTTCCTCTTTTAATATTGCATAATGCATTAGTAAATCCATTAAATCCATTAATTGAATTGGATGAAAATAGTTCAAAGAGTAATAATAATAGCACGATCAATCATGTTCCATCTCATATCAACCATGCTCTCAGTCATGATCAAATCATCGATTCTCATCCACAATTTACCGTATGTACTTATGATTTATATATGTGTTGTATTCTATTCCTTCAAATATATGTTTAACTTCTTACTACTTATATAGGCTCAAGTTAGACCATCAGATGATAAACAACTTATTAGTGATGCAACTTTAAGTCATCAACATCATTTTCCAACTGCTATAACTACTATGTCTGAGGGAAAAGTGGATCCCTTCATTCCGCATAATAATCCAAAACGTTTCGCCGGCAATACCAACAATAGTTACTACAATAATATTAGCCCTAACCATAACAACAATAATCCTAATAACAACAACAAAAATAATAATAAAAAGGTAAGGTATTCGCTCTAGTTTTTACTTATTCCATAAAACATTATCGTAATTTTTTCTTATCATATTATTTTATAGGGTAAATCTGACAAAACCGCTGCGAAATATACCGTTTTTATAGCATGGACTGGTTTAATGACTCCGGATGGATTGAAGGCTTTATTTGACAGTGACGAGGTTCGAATTAACATGTACGAAACTTTATATTAATTTATGATTAATATCTTTCAAATTTTATATATATTTGTTAGGTCGAAGAGGTTCGATTTTTACCAAATAAACAATTTGCCCATGTGGATTTAAAGACTGAGTCCGCTAAGAATAAGGCTTTGAAACTTAACGGCGAGGTAGATGGTCATTTTTAATTATTCCACATGTATTTTATTATTTTTTTTATTAAATATATATTTATTAAAAAAGACAAAGTCACCGGAACAAGGAAAATTACGAGTAGAAGAAGGAAAACCTCGTAATAGCGGTACCACAGGTACAAATCATTTCAATATTTCATAAATCTTCTTGAATCAAAATGTATATACTCTAAATTTTCTTAATAAATTAGAAAATAACGGACAGCGTTCCCAACCAAACAAACCTTATCGACAACCTAATAATAATAATAATAATAATCATAATAATAATAATAATAAACCAAATAGTTACAATTCTCAACCAAAACACAAATTTTCTCCTAATGGACATCATCAATCCATTAACGGAGTAACTCGTAAAGACATTTTGGACGGTACCCAAACTTGGCAAGAGTATTCAAACAAGCAAGATTATTCAAGCAAGCAAGATTATTCAAGCAATTCTCCACACCAAGGTACGATTCCGAATCATGTTTTTACGATGATATCAGAAAATAAAAGTAATTGAAAGAATGTGAATATCTTCAGGTCGAGTTGTTTATCAGCCTAGGGGTATGACCCAATCCTTACCCTGAATTTGGCATTACTACGTAGTTTGGGTTTTGGAAATCGGAGTTTCTACTTCATTTGGGATAATTTATTCATTCTCAGTCATTAGTGTAAAAAAAAAAAAAAAAAAAAAAACCAATCAACTTTGTTTAAATCAATGCTATAAATTATTAAAACTTTATTTTTATTTCCAATTTAAAAGGGTTTTAGGACTAGGGTAGATCTATTGAATAAAACGATGTTATAGTAGGTTTGATGGTCATATTGAATTATGAGCACAATAAATGAACAACATAATTATAAAAATGAAGGTTTTTTTACATACAGTATATATAATATTTCGAACCATAAATAATAAATATTTTGAATATAGAAGTTTCATAATGAATTTTTAGAAAAATAAGCCTTTAATAAAAACAAAGTTTTTATATATTGTAGTTTATTTATTATTACTATTTATTAACTTTGTATATATATACACATCTATATATATATAATTATCAGTTGATAAATAAATTGTGCATGATTTTATCAAAATTTGATATTAAAAAAATTTGATGAATCTTGTTTAAATATTTATTTTTTGCGTACGGTACGTACGTACGTACGTATTTTTTATTTTATTAATATGTACTGTATTTAAATTTTAATTCAATATAATTTGAATTTTTTTTTATTATTATTATTAATACTGTAATAACAAGAGATAATTATTAAGATATTAAAAAAAAAATTGCTTATTGTCGCGGCTGAAATTGGAAATGGCTGAAGCTAGAAATTAGAAACCTTGATTTAAAAATATAAATTCTACGTACTTACGTACGTACGTACGTACTGTACGTACCAAAATCTGTTTATTATATTCTTATTAACACTAAATTCTAACTTTAAAAAAAAAAAAAAATACGCCCCAAAAAATTTCAAAAAAATATTCCCCAAAAATTTTTAAAAGTTTCATATTAAAAGATTTAGCTTTATACGTTTTCAGTTTCTTCAACCGTGATACTTTTTATAAAAAAGTATATGCACATAATAGTAGCTTTTAATAACTACGTAATTACAGTAATTAGCGAAGTAAAGTAAATTTTCTAGGTTTTCATATCCTGACCGGGTCAATTTTTTTCAATTTAAAATTTAAAATGTTTGTTTTTTTTTTAGCCGCGCGACATAGCCACGCTTAGCCAGGAACGTAGTATAATCATTAGACTTGTAAGTTATAGTGATGAGCTCTATATATTATCTTATGTAAATCTATCTCAAAGTATTCATGATAATCGTATAAGTGAAAATATACAATTTTTGCGAAAATAAAATTTGTTCCAATCATATAAGATTTCGTGTAATCGTAAATTTTCATACGTACGTACGTACGTACAAGTTACTTATTAATTTTTATCGGTTTTTATATAGCAATATAAGTCTCTACGTATAAGTCCTCAATTATCACAGTATTCCGACCATAAATTTTCTTTCATACGAGGTAGGATTGGAAATTTTAAGTTTACTATGTATGATACTTTATGTAGTCTACATAGATGGTGCATTATCTATAAAGATCTTTTGAGTAGTGATGAGCAACTTAGAGGTAAATAATCTGTGGGTTCTTATACAATATGCCGGATATAAAACAGTAGGATCTCTTGTAGTATAAGTGATCCTTTTGATAAATATTATAAAGTTGGGTCATCTATACATTACGTAGGCTACGTACGTACGTAGAAAATTACTATGCAGAACCATAAGATTTTTAATAATTTTAGCATACTCTTTTACAGTTTGACCTGCATTAAAAAAAATGAAATGTCCTCGAGTAAAGAATGAATGAATATAAATAATGAGCAAGGTCAGTTCGAATAAATTTGTTTGCTCTTTCTACTACAAAGGTCCCATATTAAGCAGCTCCCTCGATGTAATTCTGTAATTTGCAGATGCTGCTCAATCATTTCGATTAATCGAAATTGTGTAACAATTTTGCCGAAAATCCATTGTGCGAAATGCGGATTTTAAATTTCAGCCAGTCGAGTAACTCTGAAAAAAAAGATGGTTGTTAGCTCCAGGTTTTTTTAACGAAATGATTAAACACGATTTATTTTTTTTAGCCAATCGGATCACTTTATCAACCATAGAGAGAGGTGCTTGAGAACAACCTACAGTATTTTTTAATTGTATCTTTTAATTGTATCTTTTTATTAATGGTGCTTATACTAGAAGGATTAAGCGCAATTATTATATAAATGTGTTCTTTTTTTAAAAAAATCAAGTGTAGTCTAGTTCAAGTTTGTTATGCTTAAAGTTATTATTAGTATAACAAAATGTTTTATTATTACTTATTAGAGTTTAGTATATTGTTTTTGATTATATATTATAATAAAAAAAAATTAGTAGTATTAACAAATTAGAAGCTAAACTACATATCATAAAGTTTGATATAGAATAAGCATATCATAATAAGAAATGTTTTTAACTAATTAAATTCAAGACTTTGCTTATAGTTTACAGTATATAGTACACTCTGTTTAATATGTTTTTTCTGGCATATTAAATTACAAATCTATTTTTTTATAATAAATAAAATATTTTTCTAAATACAATTTTAATAGTAATTAGACTAAATCATTTTAAGACTGGATCGAATAGGTATTTTGGTTTACTACTATATTGTTAGAATCTTGTAAAATAATCTTTAAAAAATGCTCTTTTTTATTTTATGCTGTTTTGATCTTTAGTATTGTTTTTTTTTAGTTGATAAAATCTTTAGAAATATTTTCTTTAATATATTTTATATTATAAATCTTAAGTGCTTTATTAATATTTAAACAGTATTCTTTATATATAAAATTTACTAAGCATACTGTTTGTAACTGTGAATCATTATGAACTTGTATTAAAAAATACACAATAGTTTTTGTATACTTGAATTTACTTGCTACAAAAAAAAGAGATATAAAGATAATCAAGTTTGTTATTTACATCTTGTAGTTTTCTTTTTTGATTTTAATTTTATATCTAATAAAATATCTTGCTTAGCAAAAGAAAGATATTATATTTTTATTAGGTAATTATTTTTTTTTAAAATATTCTATATTGAATTTTTTGATTTTTAATATATTAATATAAGATAATTCTAATAGTAGTCTAAATTGTTTCTAAAATATTTGCTTAATAGTTTATCATATATTCAAATTTTTTTAAATACTATATACTGAGAATAGCTACAAGATTAAATAGTTTATATTTGAAAAATATTAAAATTAATATACTATATATTTTTAGATATATATTATTGTTTTAAGATAAACTAAATATTTAAATTTTTTCTGTATATAAAGTTAATTATTTAAAAATTATCTAATTATATGCAATATAAAAATTATTATTATTATCAATAGATAATCCTTGCAATATATTTATAATATATAAGCATTATTATATAATTTAGTTTTTTTTAAGTTTTAATATTACAATATTTAGTACTAAAATATTGCAATCTGAAAGTATTTTGTTATTTAATTTCTAAAATTATATTTTTTGGATCAAATTTATTCTTGTATTTATAATAGTTTTATATAATATTAAAAAATTATTTATAAATATAAATAGGATGTGGTGACTTAGTAAAGTTTGTAAGTTGTTATATCCCAAGTAGCAGAACAAGAGTTTGAATCTCACTAGTAATAAAATTCAAATTTATGAAAATATATTTGAAAAACCATATCTTATTAAATAAATTGTTATTATACTTCAAGTGACAAGACAAAAGTTTGAATCTCACTAGTAATAAAATTCAAATTTACAAAAATATATTTAAAAAACTATATTTTATTAGATTAGCATCTGTAATCAAATTATATTAGTTTATACTGAGAAGTTATAAAACAATAGTATAATATATAAATTACACAAAATCCAAATAAAGTAGCTAGATAAAACTAATAAATTGAGATGTAGCAATCTACTTGGCAAAACCTAAGCAAAGAGATAATACAGAACTTTGATAGTACTATATAAAGAATTATTATCTGAAAACTGCGAAAACTAAATAGAACTAAAGTATTTGACAAGGTACTCTATTAACCAAGTTGTTAGAGAAGTAATCAAAGAAAAAAGATCTAATTGTAGAAACCAGAAACAAGTCATAGCTCTTTTGAGCTATCTGAATTAGAAGTTTGAGTAACTAAAAATAAAGTTAATAGTTTATAAAGTATATACTGGAGTTTGGGTTTGAGTAAACTTTGTAAAAGCATAATATAAGTAATAATAGTGGAGATAAAAGATTGCAAGTACCTGTTTTTGGACTTGGTATAAGTTATTAAAAATCTATATTACAGAAATTTGCAAAAAATTAATAATGTATTTAAAATTAGCAAATAATATTTTTAAAATATAGTTAAAATATTTTTCAGATAATGAGTCTATAATAGATTTATAATTAATAATTATTATATTATAATAATATTTTTTAAAAAAAATATAATTATAATATTATGATTACTAGAAGTCACAATTTAAAATTTAACTCTTCTCAATAATCACTTGTATCAACCAGTATCTGAAAGCAAGTTAAAGACTCAAAACCAGAAGTAAACAAATAACTTGAAGTTTTCTTAATATGAACTGTTATTAATAAAGTTTAAAATATGATATACCAAAAAGTAGATGTTTTGGATAGTTTGTAAAGAAGTCAAGCCTTTTTTTTTTGTCTCTTAATAAACTTCCTTTTGTGTTTAGCATCCAAATTAGAGAAGTTTCTGGAGACAGTAAATAAAAAGAAGATTCAAATTATTTTGAGAACAAAAGGCTATAAAGAACTTTTAGAATAATACTCTTTGGTTAAAAAAACTCACAAAATTACAATATTTCTTTACCGCTCTTTTTTTTTATAATTTTTATTAAAAAGTAGAAGATTTGGCTACCTGATCCAAAAGATCAGTATTGTTTACTACTTCTATTTTTAAAAAG